ATTGTATATTTTGACCTGCATTGACCTTGTGTTTGAGTTACAATTTTAGAAATTAATTCTTGATTTGATGTTTCAGTTTTTAAACTTTTAAAAACTGTTGAGGCCAGAGGTCTTTCTTCTATGTTTATACTAAAGCATGGAATGACATTCCTCAAAACATAAAGTCCATGTCAAAACTACAGCCCTTTAAGAAGAATCTTGTCTGCCATCTGCTGGACACTTTTTGTTGTGCTCATATTTAGACATCCTATTTTGCAAATGCTGCCTTCCTGAAATTTGGTATACTTGTTTGTCTTTGTGTCTATGGTGTATAATGATGTGATTGTGATGCTGTCATTCTGAGTGTTTTATGTGCTGCAGAACAGGAACCTGCTGTAAAACAGCAATTATGCTGAGCCAGGCTTGATTTTTAGTAATCTTTTCCTGTTAAATCAATAAATCAAATCAAATCAAAATAGATGGGTGGTATACATTCCTATAGCAGGAAAATGTAACACAACCAATTCAAACTTTGTAACACTGTGCCAAATTTTAAATAAAAACAGAGTCCAATGATTGCAGCTCATTTACAGTGTACAAAATGATTATATGTAATAAATATTAAATGTTGGATTGGTTGCTAGCATCATAAAAATGTGAATAAAAATAGGTTTTCATAAATACACCACTTTAATCTTGAGTATGAGTTTGGAACATCACATCATTCTGTTTTTATACAAGGCAGCAAATCAGGTTGACCATTTGAATAAATAAACATGGATTTATAAGATGTTCACCTTGTTTCCAAGTGTTGTAAAAGAACATACTACATCACATGCTTTGTCCTGGCATGACTGCTCCGTCTCTTCAGTTTCTGATGAATGCTCTCACATGCTGTCTAAACTTAGTCTCCTCAGCCACACGTCCCATCAGCTATGCTAAGCACCTGACACTGCCCTGTCTAGCCATCGCTCCACTTTTATGTGCGTAGTTTATTTCTGAGACAAAGCTCGGTGAGACCTAAAGACTTGCACATGCAACAGAAAAATCAAAAACAAAAATATGTTGGATTTAAGATTAAATATGATTCGTTTATTTAAAAAAGAACATTTTAAAAAAGCAGAACTGCATGTGAAACGATACTAGAAGTTATGAGAAGATAGAAATGTTTGAAATATTAACCGTGCGACTGATTCTTGCAGAGGGTTTTCAGCATCATGTTTGTTTTCTAGCCAGTTTCTTTAGGCGCAATAAATTCTTGTGAACACTTTGGCACGTCATAAACGCATCATATCATGGCTGTCACTTTTACTCCCCACTGAACTATAAACTGTTCTACAGGAGACGTGCTCCCAAAATCCAACCTCCGAGCAAGAAAAGGAAAAAATCAAAGCCACATTATGCTTGTTTATAGTTTGAAAATGCAAAATCTGTAAAAAACTAGAACTCTGTTTATGACCGAATGTTATTTTTTTTTTATCTTTGGTACTTTTTGGTGGGTAAAAGAGTGATGCAAACATGCATGTGCTGTATATGGGATTATCAAAGCACATTTTAATAACATCAGTCTAATAAAAAAATTAATACACAGCCTTAATTACATCATAATGATCCTATTTTTATACTGTATATATTGCTCTTTTTCTTTATTAACAAATTGGACAACACATTCTCTGTCTTATGCAACACTAAAAAGGATTTTATGAATATTGGCTTATCTTATATGAACTGAAGTCCAGGTTTTCCCAATGATTTGCACAGTCTTAAGTGAACAAGCATGCTGATGGAGGGATTCACTTACACCATTCCAGCTAATGACTCAAAGCTATAAATACAGGAGTCGCCCACAGCCGTCCTGATACACACTGTCCTTAATAGACTAATATGGTCTCTTGAGCAGCTGGCACCGTGCGCCAGACACTTCAGACTAATCTTGTGATGACGATAGGGAATATAGGTGTCAAATAAACATCAACCAGGTGTGGAAGGGACAGGTTTAAAAGAGTAACATTGGATATGCATCATAGATATGAAATAACATGAAATAACATTTTATCATATTGTTAAAAAATTACATCACGTGTCAGAGAAAATAGTCCAGTTTAATGTAGCTCAGTGCTAAATCATTTAAAATCAGCTGTTTCGTATATTGAACCATATATTTACATGTTCATGCTGTTACAAGGTGTTTAAACGACCAACACTAGCATGAACAAAACTGAAGGAAATTATCTATTTTTCAAACAAAACAAATATATCCTGCAGCAAGTGCATTGTTTTTATTTTTAATTTTTTAATTTTTTGTTTTGTCTTTGCACAGAAAAAAGGATTGCATTAATGCTAAACGTTAACAAAAACTAGGGATGCAACGATATGAAAATTTCAGGCGATATCGATATCCGATATAATTATAGCTGTCATTGCCGATAACCGATATTTAACAATATTACACAAACACTCAAATTATATTATACTTATGTACCCACAAACATACTTGGTCTGTTTTTGATACCGTACATAAACAACCAGACCTCTGACAGTTATTCCTGGCTGCACAGCGTCAATATCACTATCATGATCAAAGAGAGACCGCCCAACCAACCATCTCCTCTCCCAAAACAGAAATAAAAAGCTAAAAAGTGGGAAATAAATATCGGACATTAATATCGGCCCAGTTTTACTTATCGGACCGATACAGATATTAATGCCGATATATCGTGTATCTTTAACAAAAACTAGCTAAAAGTAGCAAATAGCTAGTTAAAAGTATTAAAACGGTAGCTAAAGGCTAAAAGCAGCAACTATTGCTAGTATTTGAATTAGTCTTAACATACTGTAAGTATAATTTAGCAATAGTTGTCTTAGGATTCCCAGAATT